CCTGTTTGTAAGTAGGGATCCGATGTAAGTCGGATCCATTTAACCCGGGGACTGCCTGTACTGAGGTCAGTAATCTCTGCCTGCATTTGCAGAATGTGAAGCAATCTCTCTGAGAGGCACACTACTCTGTGGGTACTAACTCATCTCCCCAATGATAATTCTGCAAATGTCCATGTTGTTAATTATATCATTGCTTATAAGTATGTAGAAAAGGAGAAGGATCAAATTATATGGATCAACACAACGTACTCTTTGTTATTTCTCATTTCAGCATTACACGCAAATGGATTTTTGAGATAACACTAGTGATCTTCCCCACAAGTGGGAGAAAAAAAAGCCAATGCCAAATTCTCAAGCAGAGTATCTGAACCTTGCAAGAAGCCTTGCAGTAGGAACCTAACAGAGCTCATGTGGATTCAAACCACACAAAGGGGAGCTGAGTCCAGATATCTCCTACAGCAGTGATCTCCAACCTTTTTACACCCAAGATCACTTTTTAAATCTCAGAACAAGTGACGATCTACTGCCCCATCCTTCCCCCAAGACCCCACCCCTTCCTTGAAGCCCCGGCATCTCTATTCTCCTCCTTTCCATCACTTGCTATCCCCAGCCCTTATACACTCTACACTGCCACTTTTTTCCGATTCTTCTGTAGGAAGAGGTTTTTCCTTCTGAAGGCGGGCTTGTCATTTTTCACTGGTGACACCACGAGGGCAGGAGAGCCTGGGGAGGGGGAAGGTGCTGGGAGAAGGCTTGAAAGAAGAGGTGGGCATGAGGAAGGTGGGGATGGAGCAAGTCATGTATGAGGGAATAGGGGCATGAGAGGAACAGGGGCAGAGGGTGATGAGGGGGTGGACATCAGGGAAAAAGGGGCAGTAAGGGAAGGGGGAGGCACCAGGAGGGTGCAGGGCTAAGGGAAGTTGCAGGTGCCTGGGGATTCTGGGGGTGAAGCAGAAGGGCAGACACCTGCAGGGGAGGGACCAGCACCAGAGGAGAGAGGCAGGGCAGGTGTGCAGAGGGAGGTGTTAGAGGGGATGACAAGGGGTAGCTCCCCTGATCAGAGTGGGGCTACTGGAGGAGTGGGCATGGGGAGGGGGAAGACAAGGATACATGCTTTATTTACTGTAAAAACACAGATGAGATGCAACATCTATGGTCTGTTACTCACTTTAGTATTCAAGTACCAAACTGTCTAGTATTAAGATATTGTTGGCGGCTATACTTGATTGCTGAATAATGCTGAAGATTTTTGTAAAGCTCTAAGAACATGTGAATACCAAGTTGTTCCACATTGTTTTTCCATTCAAGACTATCTAGAGGAGGAACATGCTATAAACAGAGGAAAGTGAGAATTCTTTATCTCATCACATTCAGCTAATTGATTTTTCTAAGGTCATTCTGAATTCTAGATCTTCCCTGATACAAAGGAATGCTATATACCAGGGGTGTCCAAACTTTTTTCAAAGAGGGCCAGATTTGATGAAGTGAACATGCGTGAGGGCCGACCATTTTGCCTGACATTCTTTGAACCATTAAAATTAAATGCAAATTAACTATTTTATGCAAAGTTTATTGCAAACGGCATACTTTTCATTTCGTCACATGGATGACAAATCTAAACAGGTGTTAAATCACTCTGCCTTTCATATCTGAAGGCCAGATGAAAAAAAAATCCAGGAAGCTGAAATATATGTCAGGAACATTGTAAAGTACATTACATATTATTGGTAATAAAGGTTGTCTGTCAACTTTTAAGTTCAAAAAATATGAACAGGAACATAACACCAAGTATACATGTTGTGTCCAAATATATTTATAACTGATTTAGACCAACTGACATTAACTGAGATTTTACAATGTATTCATCTCAATACATATGGATTCGTTGGGGGCCATAAAAGATAGATATTGCCAAATTACCTGTGGGGCCGTATTAAACCAGAACACGGGCCGCAATTGGCCCGCGGGCCGGACTTTGGACATGCCTGTCTTAGAGGGAACACTTCCCCCAACCTTTCTGCCCCTGAGTTAATGTCCCACACATTGGGTTAATGCAATTGTAGGATAGTTGGATAAGGGGAGTTTGGTGGGGGCCAAATTACTCCCTATTGGTAGGAGGCTGGTGGGAAAAGTCCTTGGCGGGGGGTCACATGACACTTTTTACTTCTGGTCATGTGTCCATCTTGCCCCCAGAGTGCTACCTCCAGAGGTAGGGCTAATGGGAATCAGAGTGTGTGGCTAATGGGGTCAGGGGTGTGGCTAATGGAGGTCAAAGAGTACATTAAAAAAACCTCTTTGGGTGTACACCCTAATGAAATGTGTTGCACACGCCTATGCTAGGATCTCATGTTGTCTGGTTTTCGTAGGATAGAAAGGGACACAACTTGGGAGAGCGAGATTTAGCTGGTGCTCTAATTCATTGGGGTTAAGTGGAAGCAGCAGGGGCACAAAGATTGTACCAGGGATTTGACATGCGTAACAACTAGTTCAATGCTCCCAAGCTGTTAATATTAACAAAAGAAAATCCACACGATTTCGGAATAAGCCTTTGAGAGTTTTATTAATGCTACTAGAAGAGTTACCTGGCATTGCTCGGGTGCTTCAGGCTGTGGGTGTAGGGGAGTACAGGAGTCAGGGCAGATGTTTGGGGGGTCAAGGGAGGGATTGGGGTGCAGGAGTCAGGCAAGAGTGTATTTATCTCCTGCTTGGGGAAATGGAGGTCTTAGGGCAGGGGGCTGCTCCCTGGGGCTTGCCCAAAGTGGTGGGGGGCTGTGCACCCCAGCCGCTAGTGGAGGCTGTGCTGGTGGCCAACATATGTTCCCTAGGGCAGGGTCACTTGCTGTCCCCATGTGGTCAGTGGGGAATATAACTATAGCCCATGCTTATAGCTCCCCGTGGTCATTCGAGCATATAACCATCGCTGCTGTGGAAGAAAACATTGTCCTCACTCTGCGTTTGTAAGCAACAAGTAGCCAGAGGCAATTTTATTACGAGCTGCAGCAAGGGAAAAACTGGTTTGGACGGGGGGGGGGGCCCCCCCCCCCCCCCCCCCGAGGTAGATCTTCGAAAACAAGCAATTATGAAGCAGTTTATATACTGTCCATTAGATGTAATAATAACATTTAGTCTCCTTCCCATTACAAACACCAATGGCTAACAGTTATTTTAGTTCCACCCAGATGCTCCTTATCTCAAGGTCCCTGCCAGAGTCAGCATTCTATCCTTATCTCTGTATGGAGGCGAGAGGCAAAGGCAACATCTTATTACAGCTCTCGCGTTGTCAGGCCACAGACTTTGCCAAGACCAAGATGGTTGCACACAAATTCCCTTATTCCCTTTTCCTGCCTCCACACTGCTATTGCAGTCCTTTCTTTCCATGTGATGAGAAACAATCACACCCCCTGCGCGTTCCATTGTCCTGGCATAACCAAACATTTACCTTGCTTTAAGTTATGATAAGAGGAAGCCGCATACCAAATTTGTTAGTCCTAGCTCTTACCATTCAGGAGGAGTTCTTGAACAGACTCATGGACAGATGGACACACAGACAGATGCACACATTTTCTCAAATATATAGTATATGTCAGTGGATCCCGTATTTTTTTTTTTAAAGCATTTGCTTATCCAAAAGTAGTTCATACAGATGCACACATTTTCTCAAATATATAGTATATGTCAGTGGATCCCGTATTTTTTTTTTAAGTATTTGCTTATCCAAACGTAGTTCAATTTAATGGTAGGCAAGGACCAATATATTATGTTGTCATTTGCTTTGTATTCGACATGTTTCTAATTTTCAGGATAATGTTACAGTTCAAGGTCTGTCGACTGTGTATTGCTGTTACATACTGAATCTGGACTACATCATTAAAGAGATATCTTATAAACTCTGTATTGTGGTACCAGCAAAGTAAATTACTAACACATAATTTAATGATAATCATGATAACTCACCAGACTATATGCAGGCCTAGCTCTGAACACAGTCAAAGTTTATAAATTGATTTCTTTACGCAGTGTTTGATGAAGAGCCAGATTCAAGAAACTTCTGCACATTTGGTTGCTATTATATACACTTTTCATTATCTATAATGCTTGGAAATGTCAGTACAAAGTAGCTAATATGCATACATGTAAGTGTGTGTGTGTGTGTGTGCGTGTGTGTGTGTGCCCAGAGAGTACTTTGTAAAGGTTTTGTGGTATATGCTAGATAATGTTAAGAAAGGCATATCTCAAATGGAAGACTAATATTTCCCAGTTCTCTTCATATACATTGTGAGCAACAATCACTTAGATAAGGGTAGTGTTTTTTCTATTTCTTACGAATGAATTTTAAAAATACCATAAGAAAGAAATACTCGTACATATGTAAGCAGTTTGTCATGTTACTCAGATTAACTTCTCACACGGGCTTATGCATTAAAGAGAAAACACAAACCTTTGTATGATGACATGCCTCTCTGGTATATTAATAACAGTTTCTCCAGATTTCCTATCAGAACATACAGTGCTATTAATATCTTAGCCTAGGTCTACACTAGACCAGGCAGGTCCGCTTAAAGTATGCCATCTAGTTACACAAAGGCTGTGTCTAGACTGCATCCCTTTTCCGTAAAAGGGATGCAAATTAGACATATCGCAACGGGTTTTTAAATCCCCCCCGTTTCATTTGTATAAACATGGCTGCCGCTTGTTTCCAGCTCGGAGCTTTGCCGGAAAAAAGCGCCAGTCTAGATGCGGATCTTTTGGAAAATAAAGCCTTTTCCGAAAGATCCCTTATCCCTCTTAAAATGAACCCTCAGTTCTTTAATGTGAGATTCTCTGTAGCGGGATGAAAATGTTTGTAATACTGTCAGTTCTTCACTCCTGTCTCACTGTGATTTTCTTAATTAGCAATTTCACAATTATTGTATGGGTGTGCAAAAAGCATCTCTTTATATGTAGCAATTTATAAAAGTAAATCATTTACATGTTATCTTTATACCCCTTTCTTTCTGTAGGTCCTTGACCAATACGAGCGAGAAGGATTTAATTTCCTGGCAAATGTTTTTAATTCCTCACATTCCTTCTTAGAAGACTTAACAGGTCTGACTTTATTACATCAGGAAACTCAAGATGCTGAGGTAAGAAAATACACTTCAGACTTGCGGTGCCATTTGTTTAGGCTCTAGTCTTTATCATTCAGCTTTATAAGTATAGGAGCAAATATTTCACTGTTAGTTGATTGGTGATACTTGGTTTACACAGTAAGGCTATGTCTAGACTACAGGGTTTTTTTCGAAAAAAAGTGGCCTTTTTTCAAAAAAACTTCACTTGCATCTAGACTACTGCCGCGTTCTTTCGTAATTAAATCAAAAGAAGGCAGCAGTTTTTTCAATAGCGGTAAACCTCATTTTACAAAGAAGAACGCCTTTTTTTGAAAGAGCTCTTTTGAAAAAAGTCATTCTTGAACACAAACAGGGCTTTTTTGAAAGAGAGCATCCTGATTGCCTGGGTGCTCTCTTTCGAAAAATCGGATCTCTTTTTCGAAAAAAGTGGTGGCTGTCTAGATGATCTCTTTCGAAAGAAGCGTGTTGTCTAGACGTACCCTGAGATAACAGTGTAATATCTTAGTATTACAGGCGCTTTTAATACCATTGGAAAAGTAAAGTAACCAGTTCTTCTAAGAACATATGGCCTATAGTTCTATATGGTATAAATGTTCACTTCCGTTGTCCTGCCTAGTGAATAGTGCCCAATATGATATTTCCTAGAGAAAACAGTTGTCTTTTAGGTCAGTCCAAAGTTGATTTCTATTTTGTTGTGGGGAATGTGGAAAATGCCACTACCATCATAGTGACAAAGAAAATTGAAACAGTTTTTGTCTTATGGAAAAATGCAATGACAAAGGATACATAAACTCTTGATTGTGTGCTGCTTAAGTCAGACAGATATAATTTCCAAACAGTGTTTTGTTTTGATGATTTGTAACCCTTTTCATGTGTAAAAGTCTATATTGTAGTACATTTTATAATTAACCTTGCAGTATGGTGTCAAGTATCAGAGGGGTAGCCGTGTTAGTCTGATTCTGCAAAAGCAGCGAGGAGTCCTGTGGCACCTTATAGACTAACTGAAGTGTAGGAGCATAAGCTTTCATGGGCAAAGACCCACTTCGTCAGATGCATGTATATGCATCTGACGAAGTGGGTCTTTGCCCACGAAAGCTTATGCTCCTACACTTCAGTTAGCCTATAAGGTGCCACAGGACTCCTCGGCGCTCTTGCAGTATGGTATAGTAATATTGCATGACTGTTTGTTTTTAAAGTTGGCTTTAAGAAGTGATTATTCGGTTATCACAGCCTGCATAAAGGGTTTTAGATGTTTTTTCAGCTGGAAATGGCTCATCAGTTTTGCTTAACAAGTTTCTGGGATAATGCTGACTTGGCTTTTGGTCTCATGTTTTGATCTTTAAAATAATTGCAGCAGATGCTGGAGACAAGAAATCATATAATGATTTATTAAATCAGATTGTTAACCCCGCCTCTCCCCAAAATCTTTACTTGCAATGATAGGATCTAGTAAACAAAACTAGTACTATACAGTTTTCCAGATAATACTTATAAGCACAATAATGATGTCTTGGTCTAATTGCCATACATCAATAAGTTTTTCAGATTGCTTAGGAGAACTGTGCTGTTCTAATGACACTAATAAAGAGAATAGTATAGCGTATCTTTTCAAATGTATTAGTTTACGAGTATCATCTGCAAGTGTCAGAATGTATTCAGATGTTTGCACCAGACCATTTGTGGCTATTCTATAATCTACAAAAATATATAGAGTGATACAGCTTGCTAGGAAGTTGAGGTATTTTAAGTCTGTTGTTAAAATTTTCACTTAAATGATAATTATTACAAACGTTGAACATATCCGTTTAAAAAATGTATGGGCAGGGGAGCAGATTGAGTAATGTTACACAAATTGTAACTCACGGATTTTAAAAACTTGGTCTTTTTTTACTGAATTACAGAACAGTTACGTAATATCAATATTTTCTAGCATAAAGAATAAATACCTTCTTTCAGCAGAATGATAATTAATTGAAAAACTGGTAGTACATTGCATTCCATGCAATAATAAAAACAGTATTAATAATTTTTATTTCACTTAGGGAACTTTAAAAATTTTCCTCGGTGCTTAATGCTGTCATGAAATATACAGTTGTCTTACACAGCTGTAAAACAAACAGATCCTTTTCATTTGAGGGAAAATTAAAAAAAAAACAATTGTTAGAAAATGTTTTGTGTGTGTTTCTCTTCTGAGTAAAAAGTGCGACGCAACATAAGACATACCTTAATTCTTACTCTGTACTGTTTGGTATTTTGAATTTTAAAACAATTCCTTTATAGATGACATTTTTTTAAGTGCTGTTTTACAGTCATTGTTTCAATTTGTCACATAAAACAATCAGATTAGTTCTATTAATCTCATGAAGAATCATGACTGAATTGTATTTTCCAGTTTGCTTCTATTGTCCTCATATTTGCTTGAGAAATCTTGCTGTTCAAAATGGAGGAATCTTAGCATTTTGGGTTTGCCGATACTTCAGGACAATATCATTTGTTCAATAGGAGCCACAGTGATCTCTATGACCAATCCATTGCACTATAGGAATTCCCATTGGTTTACTGATTAGGGTCCAGAGTCTGCAAAGACTTATGCAGGTACTTACCTTGGACATTGGTGGAGTTGCTCACAGTAAGTAAAGTTAAATGTATTAAGCCTACAGTTCCATAAGAACCATTTTTATAGGAGTTAAATTGAGGTTCCTGGCAGGAAAATTACTTTGTAACCCATAAACAGCATCTGCAAAGCTTTTACATCATTAGCCCTAGTATCACGGTATTGTACATGCAAATAAACTTTTCCTGGTTACTTCCCCACTCCTTTCAAGATAAACAGAAATTCTTGGGATGAATTAGAATTGCTAAACCTTGGAATAAATAAGCTCTTTTATAGTTTATGAGAATTTGTGTCGCTTGTGATGTCCAGAATTGTGTTTCTATATGGGTACGTCTACTCTACAGTGTTATTTCGAAATATCTTAACTTGAAATAATTAATTCGAAATAAGTTTTTCTGAAATAACGTGTCTACACACACAAAGCATTTTGAAATAGCGTTTTGCTATTTCGAAATACCATGTCTACACTGAGTGGACACTGATTCGCATTTGAGGCCGTCCGGAACCAGGTCAGGCAGGGCATCAGGTCAGGACTTACTGTGTGGGACTGCTACCTGAGGATATCTGAGGCCTGTGCTTAAAGGGACATCCCCCTGCTCCCCCGGGCAGCAGGTTCTCAAGTGTCTCTGCTGGCTTGTCTACCTCGATGAGGGACAGCAAAGCATTTGTGTCTCTGCGTGCTCCGGTTGCCCTCACTCGGGACACCACAGCATTCTGCAACATGGAGCCAGAGCTGTCCCTGGGCACTATGGTGCTTCTCGTGGATGCATTGCTGTGAGTCTGGCTGCACTTTCTGCAGGGTGCTATCCGGGAGGTCCATCGGGGAGCTGTCAGTATCCAGGAGGCCCTGTGGGAGAGCTCCACCCTGAGGAGCACTAAGAGTTTCCCTGGTCTGCCCCACTGGGGGCTTGTGCCTCATTCCTCCCTCATGTCCTCCCACTTACCCACCCTCCAATTAATTAAGGGCCAGGTGAGCTGAATCAGACTGCCACAAGGCCTATTTAAAAACCTTCTCTAGGGGAGTGCACAAGGGGAGAGTGAGTTGAGGAGTAGCATGGAGTGGAGAAGAGCAAACAACCAAGTGATAAGGTGATTCAGAGGAGTGGAACAGGACAAACCACCAGCCCTGCTGGAGAAAGGAGGTGGGAGAGTGGAGGAAAGAGGGTGGAGGAAGGGGGAAGAAGGGAGAGGGGAAGCTCACAGGTGGGGGTTTCACCGGGCCAACTGTCTCCCAGCACAGCGGGTGCGGGGGCCTCAGCATCCCCAGGAGGATGGGGATGGAGGGTGAGGAGGGTGTGAAGGGAGAAGCGGGAGGGGGAGGAGTGGAAGGAGAAGTGGTAGCTGGGGAGGCAGCAGGCGCTGGATAAGCAGGAGGCAGCACGCTCTGAACCAGGGTCTGCAGGTGTTGGCAGATGGCACAACCCTGGGCAAACAGCTCCCACCAGAATTCCCAATCTTCTTGCAGCCAGTGCTGCATGGTGCGGTCAGGGCTCGCAGAGTCCCCAGGTGCTGCTGTCGGTACCCCTGCAGTGTTTGCGTGGTCGGGTGCAGGAGCATGTCCCAGGCGGGGTGGTGCGCCCTGCACACGCAGCTGGTGCAGCTGTGGAGAAAGAAGAGAAGTTGACAGTTCTCCTTGGGGACACTGTGGGTGAAGCCAATCCCCCCTCTGCGAGGTGAGAATGGCCATGCCCTGCACCGTCAGAGCCGATGTGCTTGCACAGAGGCCATGTTCGAAATGTCCAGCTATCCCTGGGAGTGGGAGCTGCCCTGAGACCGCACCCATGCCCCTGTGCTGTGTATAGTGTGGCTGAGATGCAGGGGAGATGTCCTCTGCCTCTGTGTAGAGGGGGGCTTGTGAAGGGAGGGCATCCTGCTGTGTCCCACCCTGGGGTCAGGAGCATGTCATGTCTCTTCATGCATGCATGTGGCTATCAGGCCAATGCCCCTGTGTGGCAGCCAGCTGGAGCCACTTGCCCAGGGGTGGCGTGGTACATGCTTGCATGTACGCAGGTTGCTGCGTGATCCGTGGTAAGCAAGGCCGACGCATGCGGGACCTGGTCTCCCTCCCCACCCCCTGCCAGTAAGGGGACAGTGATGGCACTAACATGTTGTGGCCTCCCCAGATGACCCTGGTAATTCTGCTGCTGGAACAGCTTGGGGGTCCTGGCGGTATGGCACCCTCCCTCTCGGCTCCTGCGGCTCCTCCTCCACACTCTGGTCAGGGCCCTCTGCTTCCGGATCAGTGTCCCGTGGGGTGGCATGGACCATTCCACCACCCCAGGATGCGGTCCAGGTCACCAAAATAGGAGCAGGTATCTGCCCCTGTTGGGGAGCTACCCCATGTGGCCCTGGCATACGCCAGCCGTAAATCTTTTATTTTCATGCACACCTGCTCCTGGGT